CCGTCCAAGTAAACGGCCCGGAGCGTTTGAGGAGCTTAAATAAGGGTAGCGCCTTCTCCCCCAGCCTCGATATGAACCGACTTAGGGCGGCCATGCAACCGGCGACGCATTGCACATCCCTAAGCTTGCTGGGGGGGCGCATCCGCTCTATAGCTCGTATCTTCTCGGGGTTGGCTTCGATGCCTCGGGCAGAGACCAAGAACCCGAGAAGCTTGCCCGCAGGTACACCGAACACGCACTTATCGGGGTTCAGTTTTATGCGGGCGGAGCGGAGGCTTTCAAAAGTTTCCGCTAGATCCGAGAGTAAGGTTTCTTGGTTGCGCGTCTTTACAACCAAGTCATCGACATAAGCCTCAACATTACATCCTATTTGGCTACCCAAAGAAATTCGAGTAGTACGTTGAAAAGTAGGACCTGCATTTTTTAACCCGAAGGGCATTGTTGTATAACAATAAGTTCCTATGGGGGTAATGAACGCAGTTTTTTCCTCATCCTCCCTAGCCATGCGAATCTGATGGTAACCAGAGTATGCATCTAGAAAACACAAAAGGTCGCACCCCGCTGTGGAGTCGACAATCTGATCTATGCGAGGCAGGGGGTAAGGATCCTTAGGACATGCCTTGTTAAGGTCGGTGTAGTCGATGCACATCCGAAGCTTGCCGTTCGCCTTGGGAACGACCACCGGGTTCGCCAGCCACTCCGGATGGATGACCTCGCGGATGAATCCGGCCTCCAGAAGTCGCGCCACCTCCTCGCGGATAAAGGCTTGACGTTCCAGGGCCTGCCGCCGCACTTTCTGCCGGACCGGCCTTGCGCCCGGCCGTACGGCGAGACGGTGCTCAATCACCTCCCTGGGGACCCCGGGCATATCCGCCGGTCTCCATGCGAAGACGTCAGCGTTTGCCCGCAGGAAAGAGACGAGCGCGTCTTCCTATTTGCCGTCCAGAAGACCACCGATCCGTGTGGTCTTGGACGGGCCGTCGCCCAGGGCAACCTCCTTGACCGGGACCTCATCGCACGTGACTATCCGCTGCCTCGGGGCGGCGGGGGCGGATGTGCCAAGCCTCTCGTCGCCACCCTCGGGCTTGGACACGACGGCGAGGCGGTCCGCGCGCTGCTCCATACAAGCGAGCGCGACTTTGAGGTCACCATGGACAGAGATGGGGCCATCGGGGCCCGGCATCTTCATCTGGAGGTAGGCGTAGTGGACCGCCGCCATGAACTTTACCAACGCGGGCCTCCCCAAGACCGCGTTGTAGGGCAGACTGAGGTCCGCCACATCAAAGTTCACTCGCTCCGTGCGGAAGTTGACGGGTCCACCGAAGGTGACCGGGAGGTCGATATGACCTAGCGGCCAAGTGTGCCCCGGCGTCACACCGATGATCGGCTGGGACGGCCGGAGCATCATCCCCGGGGCCTTGATGGCGTCAAAGGCTGCGGGGGAAAGGATGTTGAGGGCCGCTCCTCCATCAATGAGGACATGCCCCAGCTTCACGTTGCAAACAGTGGGGGAAACCACCATCACGATCTGTCCTCCCTGGGCAACGCACGGTGGGTGGTCGGTCTGGTCGAAGGTGAGGGCAACCTCCGACCACCGCGCCCGGCGCGTCGCCTCATGAGTAGGGGCCGCGGCCAGAAGCTCTCGCTTCATGGCCTTGAGGCTCCGGCGAGAAACGTGAGCACACGCTCCCCCATCGACAGTGGCAATGGTGGCCCCAGGCTCTTGGAAACCTAGGTCATCATCGCCGTCATCGATGTCCTCGGCGGGGGCCTTCTGCTTGGCCTCACTGCGCCGATTGCCGGAAGGAACCGCCGGGGACTTGCCCTCTCGGCGCTCCTGCCTCCTCTCCTCCTCCCACTTCCTCGTCCGCTCAGCCAAACTTTTGACCGCACGGCAGTCCATGAGGTCGTGGAGGGAGGTGTTGTGGACGGTGCACCACTTGCCGGCTGGGCGCTCCCTGCTGGGAGCGCCGGCCTTTTTCTTTTTGTCGCTCGCAGGCCTCCCCTTTTGGGTGGCCCGCGAAGCGCCCTCGACGGCGAGGACATGACCCTCGTCGTCGGAATGGACTGACCTCTTCTTCCTCCTCCTGTCACGCCGCCCTGTCTGAGCGGCGGATCCGGAGGCGGCCGAAGCTGCCACACCGGAACCGGAGGGGTTCCAAGTCCAGGCCTCCTCCTTGCGAGCCACTCGGTCCGCGAGCTGAAAAAGCTCCGCGGTAGTCTGGGGCTCCTTGGAGGCGATCTTTTCGAGCATGCGGTTGTGCCGCACGCCCCCCCTGAACGCGTAGATTACCGCGTGTGCAGGGATGCATGGTATGGTGTTGCGGGCTTGACAGAACCGCTGAATGTACGAGCGAAGTGTCTCATCATCCCTTCGCTGTACTGCGTGTAAGTCCGCTTCTTCACCTGGGCGCGGATATGTGCCCTGAAAGTTCATGGTGAACTGTTGGCACAAATCCTCCCAGGAGTGGACTGACGCGGGTGGCAAGTTCATTAGCCAACCCCGCGCTTGCCCCTTCAGGGCCATGGGAAAGAAATTCGCCATGACCCTGTCGTCACCCCCGGCGGCCTCAATCCCGGTCGTGTAGACCTGGAGAAACTCGGCGGGGTTGACGCTGCCATCATATTTTTCGGCGATGGTGGGCCGGAACCTTGGGGGCCAACGGACATTCCGAAGACTCGCCACAAAGGCTCTACAGCCGACACCACCAACCGGGGGCACGGAGGGCTGATACCCGCGTCCGTGTTGAGGTGACACTCTGGACGAGGAAGCGCCCTCCGTTGCGTGGGTAGCACGTCGGTCATTACGCCGCCGCTCGATGCTGGTGCGGGCGTCCGGCCCCCCACGCAGATCTTCCCGGGTCGAATGAGTCGACGAAGGAGTGGTGGCCGAATGGCGAACAGCGGCTGCCGCTCGCCGCGCCCTTCGTCTTGATGACGCGGAGCCGGTGGTAGCAGCACCAGAGGCCTTGGTGGCGGAGGACCGCCCACCAGCATCTAGACGCTGCCGTGCAGTCATGACCAATTTGGCCACATCGTCCAGCCAACGTTGGGCTGGAGACTCCGGGTCATGGGCGACGGGCGGGTGACGTAGGAGCGCGCCCGCAGCTTGGAGCGCGCCCTGGGACGTGCTGCTGTCACCATAGACGAGGAGGCGACGCTCCCCATCTCGCCGCCCTTTTCCACCTCCTGTGGATGTCGAAGTCGCGGATCCTTCGGCCCTCTCGAGCGCCTCCCCCCGCTTAGGACTTTGGCGTGGAGGGGGCGGTGGAGTACGAGCTCGACGGCGTGGGTTCGGCTCCCCGTCGTCGCCACTCACACTCGGAGAGAGGTCGTGCGCCTTTGCTTGCTCAGCCATGAGGCTGAACAGGAAAAGCTTGGCGCACACGAAAGAGTGCAAGAGCTCAGAAGATCACTCGCAGAGTCCCCTACCTGGCGCGCCAGATGACGGAGCGTGGGGCTCCTCACCGGGAGACCGCGCTGGCCCCCCTTTGCCGGTTCGGCTGGGGACCCTGGGTGAGACTCTAAGCTCCCAATCTGTGGAAGGTTCGCGAGACAGGAAGCACACAAGACGCCGGCGATGTATACAGGTTCGGGCCGCTGAGAAGCGTAATACCCTACTCCTGTGTTTTGGTGAATTCGTGTATGAAGGAACTACAAAGTATGAGCCAGCCTCTCCCTCGTTCTGGGTTCCCAATCTGGAAAAGTCCAAATCCCCCCTCTAAGTGGGCAAGGTCCTCCTTTTATATCTTAAGGGGATACCACATGCACCATCTCCCCCTCTCTTTCTTCCAATTTGACTTCTCTTCATTAACAGACAGAGATTTGCATCGCCGCCGTCTGAATGACCTTCTGACGGGACGGCCCATACCTACCTCCACTTCCGCCGGAGGCAGGCGCGACGTGGGAAGATGGCTGTCTGCTGATGACTTGACCATTGTCAGACCGGTCACAAATCGGTCATTCTTGTCCACCACGTGTCAGTTTAACAATCTGCATGTTCGCTCTTCTTCATACAATATCTTGCCTGTAATGGTTAGGATGAAGCCTGGCATACATCTGACCGGAACCAACGTGCCATCTCCAGGAGCTAACACGCCGGCTCCAGCTAGGGACGAGTGCTTGGAGGCTCTCGTCCTGACGGGATGGGGCGAGGCGTGCGTCAGACCGCCTGTCGCCACCTAACCCATGATCTGACCGGTCTGTGACTGGTCACAGACCGGATAAACGAGCGTGCTGTACTGCGATACATGCGGCGTGACGCGCTCCTCAAAACTGCAATAAATGTGGTTAGGTGAGCCCCGCCATACTCACCTACCCCATATACGTGGCGCAAAACCCACAAGGGGTCGGGGCGCTTCGGCCCTCGGGGCCGAGACGGGAGCGGCCCGACCCCTTGGGGAGACAAAGAGAAGGGCGGCCGTATCACCCTCGGGCCCAACCCCCCCCCGAGGGAGTTAGGCCACGTGGGTGATCGTGTCTGCCTCAAGTCTCTAAGTCATGATACTCCCGGTAAAGAGGAGGGCGAACACATCACCCTCGGGCCCGACGCCCCCTGACGGTGCCAGGCCACGTGGGCGATTGTGTCTGCCTCAAGCCTCTAGTCATGATACTCCCGGTCCCATGTCACCGACACCCTCCGTCCCAAAATAAGCGTCCTAAAGTTTTGCACTATTTGTGTTCAACATTTAACCGTTCGTCTTATTTAAAATTTTTTTATGATCAGTATTTTTATTGCTATTATTTTTAAATGTTTCATAAATTTTTAAAATAAGATGGACGGTCAAACATTGGACATGAATATCGACAGCAAACAAGACGGAGGTAGTACCTAATTCAAGTTCCCTTTACCGTTTTGATGAGGCTTACCGCTATCGGTTACCACAGTAACTGCACGGTCACCACGAAAACTGTGATGCTACGAAATTCACAATCCGTGACCTCAAAATGCTCCGGAAAATCATCACAGCAATATAGTAACGTTCAGGCTAGAGCGCATAAATCGTAACGCTGGCTAGACTATACAAAGGTGCACGAGCTTGCATATAAACCAGGTCAGGATACAAAATGCCCGCGGGCATAAACATCTGGAATAACAATTAGGTTTGACATGGCACTACCAAATGTCCAAATCAAGTACCGAAGCAAACTAGGCGAGCTGAAAGTTCACTGCGGCTTGGGAACAGGTTCGAGGGCTTCAATCATCACAACACTGTTTCCCCTGATAACCTGCAGAAGTTACTGCATTATCAGTACTTGAGTATATATTCCTAATCGAACATATGTGAGATCTTCTCTAGACAGAATTGAACTACGGGCCTGTTTAGCACAGCTCCAGCTCCAGCTCCACTCTTCCTGGAGCTAGAGCTCAGCCAAACAGTTTTAGCTCCACCAAAGAGCTCTCTCACAAAATGTACTAGAGTTGTGGAGCTGGGTTTAGGCAGCTCCACAACTCCACTCCAGACTCAACTCTTGGAGTTATATTTAGGAGTTGGAGCTGTACCAAACAGGCCATCCCTATGAAACAGGAATCCCAAGAAAGATCTCATTCCAAAGAGTTTACTTACCACCATCCCTATGTCATTCTTCTCGTTTCCATTGACCTCCACTGTGTTGTCCACGACCAAATTCATAAACTGATCGAATCCTCGAAGAGTGCCAATGACAACACGGTTCGCATTCAGCTTGACTGGCAAAATTGAAAAGAGAGTGAATGAGTACACCATCAAAGCTGAGTAAGAACACAAGGATTAGAAGTTCAGCATCACTCAAGACTATTATTAGCAAAGACTATCAAGCAGTAACGAGATAAAATTGGATCAAATTGCAATATTTTTATAATGTATAATCTTGGTGCTTCTAGCCAATCTTAATCCACGTGCAGACCAAATGTGAGCGTCACCAAACTATTTAATTAGCTTAGCCCAAACGACTATACACAGTCACAACTCACACAAATATATCAGGTAATGGTACTGATAGCAACCATAGTTCCACTATAATGCAATATTCAAATCAAAGGGATCAACCAGCAGCAACTGAAACATCAAGGATATGATTTGATCCTTGATGAAGGGACGGTAGAGTTGTTTTCCTCCCTGAGTTGAGGGTGAGCCAAATATTAAAGGGCAACTAGCCAACTATTACAACATCAAGGTAGCCTATCAGTGTAACTATGACAAAAGGCTTCACTTGGAAAAGAATCCATAGCTTTCCAAAGAATGTCATCATTTAGGCAGCCTACTGATGTTGATTAATGAGAACCATGAAAGAAGTGTCAAGAAAACAGGTTCTACTGAACAGAACAAAGACAACAATTGGAATTATATATTCTTTTTAGAGAACAATAGGAAGTATGAAAGAAAAAAAAAAGTTCCAACTAGTACAAAAGACTGGACATGGCATGGTGTGCACAAGGATCTCAACACGCCACTGATAAAATTATATAAGGAAATGAAGAGTTTAAATGCCCTATCAGAGTAACTATGACAAAGAAGCTTCATTTGGAAAATAAATCCATAGCTTTCCTAAGATATCATCATTTAGGGCATTCACAAATCACAAGCACTGGCACAAAAATCTGCAAGCTATTACAGAACATATATCTGCAAACACCAACATAGTTGTGCTCAAAGATAAGCAAACCTGCTGTATTCACATATCAGATCTGGTTCAAACGAACTTCCAGGTTTCTAACCAGGCTTAAGATTTACTAACAGGTTGAGCTGAATTCTTCAGCCAAAATATTTTTGATATACCAACTCTACTACGACAGGAATAAACAACATGAAAAGCATCAAAGATCAATACGACAAAAACAATAACTCGATATATCTCCAGATGACCATACCAAATCAATTACCAATACCTAGTCATATGCTTCATAACACCCCTATCTCGCAAGTTGCAACATAGAGCTCTTACAACTTGCACCACAAATCTCAGCTAGGGCATGTATTAAGATGACGAAGCGAATTGGCGATACCGGACCATACATAATCAGTTAATCACAGAATCTACACAGCGTTATCTTAGAATTAACGAGGCAGCTAAAAACTTTGGGTTGGATGAGTGCGCTTACTTTGGAGCTTCTTGTCCATGTACCTGCAACCCACCAGAACAAAAACTCGCATCAAAAATCCAAATCCAAGTAGAACAAACCAAGCCCACAAATCGAACTCAAGATGAAGAAAAAAAGCACTAAGAAATTACTTCTTCAGATCCGGAGGCTGCCCCGATCGGCTCATGGCGACTCCCCGACGGAAGATCTAGACCTTCTCCGCTCAACCAAAGCCAAATCTTCGGAGTAGGCGAGAGAAAATAGCCGCCGCCGCCGCCGCAGAGAGGAGAACCCTGAACCCTAAAATAGCCCGAGACGGGATTGCTATCTCCACACTATAAATAGTCGCTGACATGTGGGCCCGCGTCTCCGCTCCATCGCGAACACAAGAAGACGAATAGATACAGAAATATTATTAAACTCAGGGGTGTATCTGCAAATATACCACCAGCCCAGCCTGGAGCACGACGAAGCGCGGACGAGGCGAGAACTCCTTGGAGCTCTGAACTCTCTATCGCGTGAGGAGGTCGACGGCGAGAGAGATGCGCGGCGGCGGCGGCGGGGATGCGGGCACCAGCTCGAGGGGCGGCGGTTCCGGCGGGGCCCCCGCGCGTCCGCGGCGGTTCCCTGAGGCGGCGCAGCCGGAGATCATGCGGGCGGCGGAGAAGGACGACGGCTACGCCGCGCACGTCACCGAGGCCTGCCGCGACGCCTTCCGCCACCTCTTCGGTGTGTTGCTTTTTCTCCCCCCGTCTCGTAGCTTAAGATTAGCTCCGCGTCGCGCGATTTGATGGTGGTTTGGGTTTTGGTGATGATGCAGGTACCAGGGTCGCCGTTGCTTATCAGAACGAGGTGAGAGCTTAAATTGGCTGTGTTGGCTTGTGGCTCTACTCGGGTTATGTGATATTTGTCGAATTCTGCCGGAAATTTAACTTATCTTATACACTGTTTGCTACATAGACTGGTGATATGAGAGTGAATGCCTGAAATCAGATGAATTGTTTCGGTGTTTGGGTAAAGTAGTTGAAAATTTTCAACTATTGTATATTGTCGTATGACTTTGGTATGATTGGCAATGAGCATTTAGTGTATTAGCTTTTTACAACTTCAAATTTGATTGCACACCTATAATATTACATGCTTTCAAGTTTCAAGGCTTACAAGTTGGGTATGCATTACTGTACTGGGGATTAAACTTCAACTATCAACGGACTTTTAGGGCTGTTTGATTTCTTCGGCGTTTTAACTCATGTAGCTACTTTGCATTTGAATTCAAATAGCTAATTTGTTCTAGTCAGTATGAACTGACAGGTTATGTTATTATATATATCTGATTTCCATGCTTGGTGGTGAAATTAGTTTATTTATATAAAAAAATGAAGATGGATTGCATTGTGTTGCATCTCAGTCATCAGATTCTCAGTAGCATAGAATGTGTTGTGCTGTGTGGCAGAAGCACAACCTTTTAAAATATGAACTACATCAAATTGTTCTCTAGATCTGTAACATAGAGAAATAGTATAAATTTTGTTCTCTGCATTTATTTCGGTGCTAATATTCTTATTGATTGTCCAAAATTACATTTCTCATGAACATTTGCAGATAAAATTGCTTGGTCAGTCTCTTTATTACTTGCTAACAACTGGTTCAGGCCAGCAAACACTTGGAGAAGAATACTGTGATATATCTCAGGTCATACTGCTTTTTTGTCTTTAATGCACAGTTTCTACTCGCAGCTATTTGATTTGGTACTTGGTAGTATACCATTAGCTTGTTGCTCATCTGTTGCCTTATACTTTGAGGGGCACACGTTGTAAATTTGTCTCTGTAACTGTAGGTAGTATATACTGGACATGTGCTGTTATTTCAGTTTTATGTAGGAGACACAAGAAACCTTTGATGGAGTAAATATGGCCTTTTTGTTTAATTGAGGGGTCTGTTTGCATCTGAAGTGAAACACAAAACTGTTTATTTTTTCTTAAACATGAAATTATTAGGAGTCAAATAACTGGTAGATCCTATTAGGAAAATGTAAAGGGAACACAAAATGTGTTGGTTTCAGTTATTGAGATAGTCAATTTTTTTATTCTTGTCGACAAGACACAAAAAATTGTTATTAGCAGAAGAGTCTTCAATGAATAATATTAATCTTAATAAGGTACAGCCAAATTGTAGGCTTGAAGCTGCCATTCACAGAAAACATAGGAGTCAAAATTCACTCTATCATGCTGATGTTGTCCATGTTGTAAACAGGTTGCAACCTCGCACGGACTTCCGCCTACACCTGCTAGACGGATTCTATTCATTTTGTACCAAACTACCGTTCCCTATCTTGCTGAACGCATCAGGTTTGACAATAATAGTTTTGGTCATTCATTCCTATTTAGATCGGCTATCTTGCCCAATGAAACTGATTGCATAATTTCTGCTCACTGTGATTTTAACAGCTCTAGAATTGTTGCACGTGGTATTGCCCTCGAGGACTCTCAGCTTGATGACCATTCTGAAAGTGATAGTTCTAGTATAGGCACTGCAGCACAACCATCCCCAATTAGGAACAGTCCTTCAAGAAGCTTGAGTTTTTCTCATTTGTCAAGGTTGAGAGGCAGAGTCCATACCTTGTGGGAATGGGTTCTTCGGAAATGGCCTTCGGTATGAAATTATTCTAATTTGTGTGTGGCATCCTTTTCTTATAGCAGAAAAAACTCTCTTGATTTAGTAATAGGGAAATGTTTCTGTAGAATTAAGGTTGTAGCAACACTATGAAAATGCATTTCTTGCCTAACACCTATATGTTGTTGCCTGACTCTAATATGCATGCAGATGCTACCATTTGCTCAAGATTTTATACAGTTAACTATCCGGACAAACCTTATGTTCTTCTATTTTGAAGGTATCTTATGTTCGATACAGCATGTCAAATTTTGAAATGAGTTTGAGGACCAATAAATTTTTATAGGGTGACAAGTAGCAAATGAAGAGTTCTGTTTCTTAGTACTGCTCAGTGGCTGCCTTAAAGTCATGGAACCTGAACTTATTATGACGCAATTAGAAAAATTAAATTACCAGAATACAACTTATTGGTAAATAACAACCCAGTTTATCATAACATCTAACAGAACATTTCCAGTGAATTGTGCAATTCACTGTCATGCTCTGCTGCATATGAGAACTCTATCATATTCTACTTAACTGAAATTGCTACATCTATTTCAATTTTTTATTTTATTTATGGTAGGATGCAACACCATGATTCTATCAAGCCTTAATTAATGTAATGGCTTAGTTAGAGTTGACTTATGTTCTTTTTTTTATCACCTCAATTGAATCTGTAGCAACTGTTTGATATTTGATTAACATTTCCAATTTCTTGTAGGATTGTATTATCATTTACCAAAGCGAGCAGCTGGCATTCGTTATGTATTCATTGGGAAGCCATTGAATCAGAGGCCCAGGTACTCTCTGTTTCTCTGCTCATCTACTGTTTATACTACATGAAACAAATCATACAAACAATGGGCTATGAAACACCAGTAATAAATGAGTTTGAGAATACTGATAATAAGTCTTTTCATGATCTGTAGTTTTTTTGGACATCTTCACATGTATTACCTCCATTTGAGAGCTTAAAATTCTCCAGCAGGTCACATTTAACTCATTGGATTTTGCAGGTATCAAATCTTGGGTATTTTTCTGTTAATTCAGTTATGTATTCTTGGTGCTGAAAGACTTCGAAGAAGTAATTTATCAACAATAGCTAGTTCGATTAACCAAATCTCATCTGGAGGCTATCCTTCATCAAGAGGTGGTACACTCTTTTTCTCAATTTATGAAACCAGTTTTGGTTCTATGTTAATGCTTTGTGTTTACTTGTTTCATGGATATAAATAAATGTTCCAATATTACCTTTGTGAATGGCAAAACAGGTCGAGGTGTCCCTGTTCTAAATGAAGATGGAAATATAATCAGCGACATCCGCCATGGGAAAACTGCAGATTTGGCTACTAGTTCAGAGGTATTTTTTTCTAGATAAATTCATTGAGATGACTACTATTGTGTAGCACAAAATGTTTAGCTTTGTGTTGGACGCCAACAGCTTTTAAGATTATCGGTATCAAGCACTTCATGTTATGCAACAGAATTCTATTTAAAAAAGAAAGCAACAAAGTAAAAAAAATGTTACAATTTAAGATTATGATTGAACTGAAAATGCTTTTTTACCACTATTCTTATATTGTTTATGTTATTTGATGTATTTTGTGTATGAATATAATTCTTCTTTCATATTGTATGTCTAATGTTCAGGCATCCAGTGGTAAGAGCAAATGCACCCTTTGTCTCAGTACCCGTCAGAATCCCACTGCCACAACCTGTGGCCATGTCTTCTGCTGGTAAGACTCGTTTTTTGGCCTTTACGGATGCAGCCTGAAATTTTTCTCTCATGCACTCACTTGAATGGTATGGTAATTCATGACATAACATGCAGGAGTTGCATTATGGAGTGGTGTAATGAGAAGCCTGAATGCCCCCTATGCAGAACTCCGATTACACATTCGAGTTTGATTTGTATATATCATTCAGATTTCTAGCAAATGATTACTAGCAAGGGGTCATATCATTCTCCAGTGGATTCATTAAAATGATACTGAATCCCCACATTTTGGCGAGAACTCTTCTTCTGAAGTGTTTTAGTGTACCAAAAGAGGAGAGTAGAAACCATCCAATGAGGCTGAAGATCAATGCTGCCATTCAACTGTATTGTAGAGCTCAAATAACAAAACAATCAAACAGAACAAAATTTTCATTAGAGCTCAAACGGATACCCATGTATATGTACATTGTAGACACAACTTGATTTTGTAGGGTAGAACAGTGGCTGACTGGAATCATTAGAGCAAAATGTATCGACCTGAAATTCTGCCGGGAAATTTAACTATTTGCCAATATTAGATTCGACAATTATTCAAATGCCCCTCTTAGATTTGGACTTAATTTTTTGCCCCTCTTAAGAGATGCCTTCTTAACTATTTGCCACTTTTGTCCACGTGGTATGCCAATGTGGCAACACAGGGTAGAAATCGGTGTGGGACCCACTAGTCAGCCTCTTCTCTATCCTTCTTCTTTCCCTCTGGTCCGGCGAGGAGCGTGCTCTGCCACAAGCCGGTGCTGCTCCGGTCTCCATCCTTGTGCGCGGCTGCTCTAATCCACCGCCGCTTTGCCTTCGTCAGTGCCACCGCTTCACCTCCTTCGACAGCGCCGCCGCTTTGCCTCCTCCACCACCGCGAGGAGCCCGTCCGCCGCCGCTACACATCCTCCTCTGCCCCGACCGTTGCTCTGCCTCCTCCACCTCCACGAGGAGCCCGTCCGCGTCGCTATGCCAGCGCCACCGCTTCGCCTCTTCCACCACCACGAGTAACCCGTCCGCCGCCGCTACACATCCTCCTTCGCTGGCGCCGCCGCTTCGTCTCGTCCACCTCCGCAAGGAGCCCATCCGCTGTCGCTACGCCTCCTCCGCCGGCGCCGCCGCTCCGCCTCCTCCACCACCACGAGGATGTCCGCCATCGCTGCATCTCCTCCGCCGCCACTGCTCCTTTCCCCAACCACGCCGTCATCGCACGCCGGACCGGAGGGAAAGAAGGAGGAGAGAGAGGAGAGGCTGACTTATGGGTCTTACACCAATTTCTACCCTATGTTGCCACGTTGGCATGCCACGTGGGCAAAAGTGGCAAATAGTTAAGAATGCATCTCTTAAGAGGGGCAAAAAAAAAAGTGCAAATCTAATAGAGGCATTTGAATAATTGTCGAATCTAATAGTGGCAAATAGTTAAATTTGCTTATCCCCGTATCCCTCTGTATCACGTTCTTTGATTGCGTTGCGTGACTGGCGTACGAGACATTTGCTTATCTCATACTCCCTCCGTCCTAAAAAAAAGACAAACCCTGGTTTCCGCGTCCAACGTCTGACCGTTCGTCTTATTTGAAAAAATTATAAAAAAAATTAAAAAGACAATTCACGCATAAAATATTAATCATGTTTTATCATCTAACAACAATAAAAGTATGAATTATAAAAAATTTCATATAAAACGGACAGTCAAAGTTGGATACGGAAACCTAGAATTTGTCTTTTTTGGGACAGAGGGAGTACTCTACTGTGAGTTCTGCCCACACGCAGTCTGCAATTCTGGCATCTCTGCAGAAACGCAATGCCTCTCCTCTCGCCTCGTCACTTTGAGCTCAGTAGAATTGGAGTGTGGCAAAGCAAAAGAGCGAAGCCGTTTGTCACAAGTGCCACCAACCCTCTCGTCCGGCGGCTGCCCAACAGAATCCACCATGGTTTCTCCATCCTTTTTCCATTTTCAATGCAATCCACCTTAAATTTCTCTCTCCCGTAACGCCATCCATACCCCGGCATTGCTCTGCCCGTACACAAACTACCACACTAGTCGCAAGTTAAAACCACTACAAAATCCATTCCAACTTGCCTCATCTCTCCCACCTCCATCACCAAACCAGCACAGGTCGCTGTCTCTCTCCGAAATATCATTTCGTTTTTTAATCATCTTTTCCTCCTCTTCGCTAATCACCATGATTTGCCTCCGAGCCGCCTTCCCCTTGACCTCCTCCTTCTCCTCCTCCCCTCTCCGCCGCCTCGCCCTCAAGCCCTCCTCCTCCCGCGCCGCCGCCGCCGCCGCCATGTCGTCCGCCCCCGCCACCGCCATCGCCGCGCCGGTCGAGCACATCGTGCTCATCAAGGTCCGCCCCGAGGCGGCGGCGTCGGGCGCCGCCGCGGCGATGGTGTCCTCGCTGCAGGCGCTGTCCAGCGTGGTGCCCGGGCTGTCGTACATCCACGTCGGCCCCGTGCTCCGCCTCCGGTCGCCGGCGGCGGAGGCGCTGGGGCCGACCCACGTCCTCCACTCCCGCTACGCCACCAAGCCCGACCTGGCGGCGTACGCGGCGCACCCGGCGCACGTCGCCGCCGTGCAGGGGCACGTCCTCCCCAACGCGCTCGACACCACCGCCATCGACTGGGTCAACGCCGCGCTCGCGCCGTCCCCGGTCACCCCGGGCTCCGCCGTGCGGCTCACGCTGGCGAAGGTGAAGGAAGGTGTGGAGGTGCCCCAGCTCGTGGAGAAGGTCGCCGCGGCGACGGCGGCGGCGGGCGAGGCGAAGGGCGCCAGGGTGAGCTTCGGGGAGAACTTCTCCCCCGCGCGGGCTAAGGGGTACCAGTTCGGGATGGTGGCGGTGTTCGACAGCGTGGAGGAGCTCGACGCGGTGGAGGGGGACGGGAAGGTGCAGGAGGCCAAGGCGGCGGTGAGGCCACTGCTCGACGAGGTGCTCGTGCTGGACTTCGTCGTCGGACCTGCCGCCGTGGAGGCTCCGGCGCCGGCCAACCTCTGAGAGGTTTGCCTTCGGTTTGGAAACTCTTAGTTGCCTTGTTCAATCGATCGAGAATAATGCAATCCTTGTGATTGGGTGTGCTGCTGCTGCTGTGGCGTGTGATTGGCAATGGCAATTGATTTTGGAATGAATAAGAATTGTACCTGACTACCTGAACTAGGAATTAGGATGGCCGCTCTTGCTTGGATCGTCGTGTACCAAGAAAGAGCTTGCTGCCTTCAGTGTTCATCTTTCTCTTGTCGCGCTGCCTACAAATGTGCATGTCAGATAGTCTTGTTAACCACAACTCGGTGCTATGCCTCTCATGCCTCCCCATTAAGCATGAAGGAACCACTGACATGCCACTGGACAATCTTTTAGTATCATGCACCCGTAGAAGTATTTTAGTCTTGCTCCAATTCTGCCTTGTGAAATCCTCATAGGCATGATTTATGGAACATGTGCCTTTGTGATTGTAGAGTATTATACGCAATAATCGCTGTTGTCGGAATCGGATGTCCGGGTTACTACATTTTGAGCAGTTTTGATGACTTTGGCCATGTTAAAGTTGAGGAGGTCAGTCCATTCAATAGTACAGAGGACCTTTTTTTAGTGGTAATAGTGATCTTGCTGAACGCATCAGGTTTGACAGTAATAGTTTTGGTCATTCATTCCTATTGAGATCGACTATCTTGCTGAATGAAACTGATTACATAATTTCTCATTGTGATTTTAACAGCTCTAGAATTGTTGCACGTGGTATTGCCCTCGATGACTCTCAGCTTGATGACCATTCTGAAAGTGATAGTTCTAGTATAGGCACTGCAGCACAACCATCCCCAATTAGGAACAGTCCTTCAAGAAGCTTGAGTTTTTCTCATTTGTCAAGGTTGAGAGGCAGAGTTCATACCTTGTGGGAATGGGTTCTTCGGAAATGGCCTTCGGTATGAAATTATTCTAATTTGTGTTTGCCATCCTTTTCTTATAGCAGAAAAACTCTCTTGATTTAGTCATAGGGAAATGTTTCTGTAGAGTTAAGGTTGTAGTAACACTATGAAAATGCATTTCTTGCCTAACATCTATATAATCTTATGTTTGACACATCATGTAAATTTTGGAATGAGTTTGAGGACCAATAAGTTTTGATAGATAGGGTGACGAGTAACAAATGAAGAGTTCTGTTTCTTAGTACTGCTCAGTGGCTAAAGTCATGAAACCTGAACTTATTGTGAGGCAATTAGAAAAATTAAATTACCATAATACAACTTATTGGTAAATACCAACCCAGTTTATCATAACATCTAACAGAACATCTCCAGTGAATTGTGCAATTCACTGTCATATGAGAACTCTATCATACTCTACTCAATTGAAATTGCTACGTCCATTTCAATCATTTATTTCATTTATGGTAGGATGCAACACCATGATACTATCAAGCCTTAATTAATTGATGGCTTAGTTAGAGTTGGTCTTATATTCTTTTTTTATCACCTCAATTGAATCTGTAGTAACTGTTTGATATTTGATTACACTTGGACGTTTCCAATTTGTTGCAGGATTGTATTATCATTTACCAAAGCGAGCAGCTGGCATTCGTTATGTATTCATTGGGAAGCCAATGATTCAGAGGCCCAGGTACTCTCCTTTATTTTGCTCATCTAGGAGTACCTTTTATACTACGGCCGAGTTTAGTTCCAAACTTTTTCTTCAAACCTCCAACTTTTCCATCACATCAAAACTTTTCTACACACACAAACTTCTAACTTTTCTGTCACATTGTTCCAATTTCAACCAAACTTCCAATTTTGGCGTGAACATGAAACATATCATACAAACATTAGACTATGAAACACCTGCAATAAATGAGTTTGAGAATGCAGATGATGAGTCTTTTCATGATCTACAGTTTTTTTTGGACATCTTCACATGTTTTACTTCCCTTTGGGAGCTTAAAATTCTCCAGCAGATCATATTTAACTCATCGGATTTTGCAGGTATCAAATCTTGGGTATTTTTTTGTTAATTCAGTTATGTATTCTCGGTGCTGAAAGGCTTCGAAGAAGTAATTTATCAACAATTGCTAGTTCGATTAATCAAATCTCATCTGGAAGCTATCCTTCATCGAGAGGTGGCACTTTCTTTTTCTGAATTTATGAAACCGGTTTTGGTTTTATGCCAATGCTTTGTGTTTACTTGTTACATGGGTATAAAATGTTCCAATATTACCTTTGTGAATGGGAAACAGGTCGAGGTGTCACATCGAATATTTGGACACATGCATGGAGTATTAAATATATATAAAAAAATTAATTACACAGAATACATGTAAATTGCGAGACAAATCTTTTAAGTCTAATTGCTCCATGATTTAACAATATGGTGCTATAGTAAACATTTGCTAATAACGGATTAATTATGTTTAATAAATTCGTCTCGTAGTTTATAGGCAGAACCTGTAATTTGTTTTGTTATTAGTCTTCATCTCATACTTCAAATATTTGTCCGTATATTCAATGTGACATGCTAAAACTTTTCACCCCTAAACTACACAGGGCCTTTAGGCTGTGTTCGCGGGAGGATGTTCCCAACCAGCCGTTAGCGCACGGAAAACGGAACGATCTATTAGCACGTGATTAATTAAGTATTAGCTAATTTTTTTTTAAAAAATGGATCAATATGATTTTTTAAGCAACTTTCGTATAAAAACTTTTTGCAAAAAACATACCGTTTAGCAGTTTGAAAAACATGCGCGCGGAAAACGAGGGAGATGAGTTGTGAAACTTGGGTAAGAACACACCCTTAATTAATCTCGCGTTAATAGACCGCTCCGTTTTCCGTGCTAACTGTTCCGGTTGGGAACTGGAAATAGCGAACACAATCTTAGGGTGTGTTTAGTTCACGCCAAAATTGAAAGTTTGGTTGAAATTGGAACAATGTGATAGAAAAGTTGAAAGTTTATGTGTGTAGAAAAATTTTGATGTGATGAAAAAGTTAAAAGTTCGAAGGAAAAGTTTGGAACTAAGTCCTCAGTAGAGTTGGAGTGTGGCAAAGCAAAAGACCGAACCTGTTTGTCACAGGTGCCACCAACCCTCTCATCCGGCGGCTGCCCAACAGAGAATCCAGCATGGTTTCTCGGTTTCTCCATCCTTTTCCCATTTTGAATGCAATCCACCTCAAATTTCTCTCTCCCGTAACGCCATCCATGACGCCGGCTTTGCTCTGCCCGTACACAAACAGCCATACTATACTACCAGCAAGTTACTATGGAGTACTTGCAAACCACTACTCCATCCATTCCAACTTGCTTCATCTTCATCTTTCCCACCTCCATCACCTCACCAACAGCACCAGCGCAGGTCGCTGTCTCCGAAATATCATTTCGTTTTTAATTATCTTTTCCTCCCCTTCGCTAATCACCATGATTTGCCTCCGAGCCGCCTTCCCCTTGACCTCCTCCCCTCTCCGCCGCCTCGCCCTCAAGCCCTCCTCCTCCCGCGCCGCCGCCGCCGCCATGTCGTCCGCCATCGCCGCGCCGGTCGAGCACATCGTGCTCATCAAGGTCCGCCCGGAGGCGGCGTCGTCGGGCGCCGCCGCGGCGATGGTGTCATCGCTGCAGGCGCTGTCCACGGCGGTGCCCGGGCTGTCGTACATCCACGTCGGCCCCGTGCTCCGCCTCCGGTCGCCGGCGGCGGAGGCGCTGGGTCCGACCCACGTCCTCCACTCCCGCTACGCCACCAAGCCCGACCTGGCGGCGTACGCGGCGCACCCGGCGCACGTCGCCGCCGTGCAGGGGCACGTCCTCCCCAACGCGCTCGACTCCACCGCCATCGACTGGGTCAACGCCGCCCTGGTGCCGTCCCCGGTGAACCCGGGCTCCGCCGTGCGGCTCTCCCTGGCGAAGTTGAAGGAGGGTGTGGAGGCGCACCAGCTCGCGGAGAAGCTCGCCGCGGCGACGGCGGCGGCCGGGGAGGCGAAGGGCGCCAAGGTGAGCTTCGGGGAGAACTTCTCCCCCGCGCGGGCCAAGGGGTACCAGTTCGGGATGGTGGCGGTGTTCGACAGCGTGGAGGGGCTCGACGCGGTGGACGGGGACGGGAAGGTGGAGGCGGCCAAGGCCATAGTCAGGCCGCTGCTCGACGACGTGCTCGAGCTGGAATTCGTCGTCGGACCTGCCGCCGCGGAGGCTCCGGCGCCGGCCAACCTCTGAGAGGTTTGCCTTTGGTTCGAAAACTCTAGTTGCCTTGTTTGATCGGTTGAGAATAATACAATCCTTGTGATTGGGTGTGCTGTGGCCTGTGGTTAGCAATGGCAATTGATTTTGAAATGAATAAGAATTGTACCTGACTACCTGAACTAGGAATTAGGATGGCCGCTCTTGCTTGGACGTCTACCGAACAAGAGCTTGCTGTCTTCAGTGTTCATCTTTTCTTCTCGCTCTGCAACTGCAAATTTGTATGTCAGATAATTTTAAGACTCGCAACTCGGTGCTATGCCTCTCATGCCTCCCTTCCCCCATTAAGCATGGAGGAACCACTGACATGCCACTGCACAATCTTTTAGGATTTGATATTCTTTTGACTTAGTATTATGCACCCATAGAAGTATTTTAGTCTTGCTCCAATTCTGTATTTCTGTCTCGCAGAATCCTCGTAGGCATGATCTATGGACTATGGAACATGTGCCTTTGTGATTGTAGAGTATTATATGCAGTAATCGCTGTTGTCGGATGTCTGGGTTACTACATTTTGAGCAGTTTTGATGACTTTGGCCATGTTAAAGTTGAGGAGGTCAGTCCATTTAATAGTAGCGGGGACCTTTTTTTAGCGGTAATAGTGATCTGGACTACAGCTCTTTCAGAAAAGGATGTATGGTCTTATACTCTTATGGCAACCATCTACTTACTGGTTGTTGGCCTTGTTAACAATGGTGGTGAAAGGAACAGGACTGGAGTAACTTTCGAAAATGAGCGATACTGCAGCAAATTCTGATGAATTTGGCAATTTGCTGATGCTGTGGGTTTGAAAGAGCCAATCATCTAAAGCTCAACCACATTGTTTTCTCTCAGGCAGCAGTAGCAATCCAAACAAGCAAGGTCTCGGGTTGCCTTACCAGGCAAAGTTCATGAACATCTCCAATGTTTCTCAGGCATACAAATTTGTCAGGCATGGTGCTCTGGCCTCTGGGCACCAACCAAACAGGGCCATAGTTTTGGTCGCTTCAAACTGTAGTTTGGTCTTCCTTCTATTGCCCTTCTGTTGCTTCCTTCAATATATTCAGAGTGAATTTGTAAATATGCTGTTTTTCTCATTAAGAAACTTAGCATATAACAAAAGACCGGTCACATCCTTTTAAGGGTTCGTGACAGCCTGCTCAACATAGAAGGTCAGACACTTAAATAAATTATTTGCCTTCCCTGCGCTTTAATAAATTCATTGTCAAGTTTTGTGCTTGACAAAGTATTGGTAGCGTGTGCAGGACTGAGGCATGCACCACTTCCTCTAGGTTGAATTGATTTTATTGCATAATGCTCTGTTCTTTGTTGCAAGTAATATTTTGACAAAGGGAAATTACCATGACATATATACTCAGATACTTAAAAAGAAAAAAAAGATTGGTTTTACCATTATTTTTTTCTATTTTTCTACATGGTTATATTTTATGAAACAACAAGACTGAGTATAAATTGATAAAGTGGACATAACTTAAGTTTAGGAAGGGATACGGTTTAGGATAAATGGCTCTCCATAAAGGGAAGGGATGATTTGGTTGCCTAAGATACAATTATTTGAATTTCTCAACAACCAAACCCTACATTATATAAATTTATAGGCAGGCAGATACAGCTAGGATGTTTGCATCCAAGCAAGACACTATCAGAGTTTTGAGGAGTGGAATATGTATTCAAAGCAAGGAACTAACTGAATTTGCAATATACTTAATTCGTTGAGAAGTTACAACTTACAGGAACATTATTAAAACATGTAAACATTTGTTCTAATAATGCCAATCATGGATTTGAATATTGAGAACTGAGAAGCATAAAACCATTTCCTTACTAAGAGTGAGTCTACTCCTCTAAGGGCACCTATTTTTATATGCAGGAAATAAAAACATTTGACTAACTAGGCGGATCAAACCATCAAATTACATCCTGGATTACCATATTATACCATTTCTTGCCTCAATAGTTTGGCACTTATATCCATATCCAGCTAATGCACATGCTAACCAAGTCTTGCAGCATCTATACTTGCACATCTTAAGGCCTCCCTTGTGGGAGACCTGACATTTCAGATTTCAGAGGCAAGGACATTGGCACAGAAGCAATTCTCCCATTCTCCAAGATGTACTACAACTACCGGACTCACTGCTCCCACCCGCAGCACGTCCTGGTGAGGTGCCAGTACAGCAGCAGCTCCGGCCATGTCTGCGACCTCTGCGCCGCCGGCTTCCGCGGCCTCGTCGGGCTCCGGTGCAAGGCCTGCGACTTCGACATTCACGAGGCCTGCGCCGACTACTTCCAGCCGGCGATCTCCTCCTTCGCCGCGCACCCGTGGCACGGCCTCGCCCTCGGCCGCGTCGCCGACAACGACCGCGTCTGCGACCTGTGCGCCGCGGCGTGCCCCCGGGGGGGCTTCGTCTACCGCTGCGTGCCGTGCGGCTTCGACGTGCACCCGCTCTGCACCATGTTCCCGGCGAAGGTGAGGAGCCCGTTGCACCCGGAGCACGAGCTCGCCATGGTGCCGGCGGCCGCGGCCGCGGCGGCGACGCTGGGGCGGCAGTGCCGCACCTGCTCCGGCTGCGGCGAGGTCTGTGGCGGCTGGTTCTACCGGTGCGACGCTTGCGGAGTGTGCCTCCACGCCGAGTGCCTCAATGGCGCCCGCGCCAAGCAGAGTGCCGGGGTGGGAAGCCAGGGCACCGGCGTCGGTGGCGCAGGCAGCAGCCAGAGCGGCGGCGGCGGCGGCCAGAGCACCGGCGTGAAGCGGAGCCGGAGTTCCCTTGTTGGGAAGTTGCTTCTCAAGGCTGCGGTTCGCGTCGCCGTCGATGCGGCGACGAACGGGCTGGCATCGGCGGTGCTCGATAGCGGCAGCGCCGACGACACGTCTTCCTTCGATCAATAATGTGATTGTGCGTCCTATTGATCAATCGATGGCAGTACATTATGTATGAGTATCACCCATCTCCCTTGTTTTCTCTCAATCTGATATGGAGTACTTCGTACTATCTATCTATCCATCCATGCTTCTCTAGCCGGTTGTTTTGCCGATTGATAATTGGACCACGTGGCTATGTGAGAAATTTAGGAATGATTTCGCTAAACTTCAACTGGGCTTTCGCCCGGCAACCACCCTTGAGGGGTGAGACAGCACGACAACGACCCAGGAGGGGGAATGAACCATCATTATCGGCCCGGCCAAGGCCGGGCTGGGTTTTCACCCGCCGCTCACCACCTGCGAATCCATAGCTGACGCACCAATGCTCCACCACCACTCCAACTCTGCCGACATATGGGACCCCTGCACCGGCGTCCCTTGTCAGCCAGCCTTCGTGCGCCAAAGACCGCGCCACACCCACCGGCAGCTTCTCTTCACACTGAGGTCGCCTCCTCCACCACCGGCCGCGCCTCTCGCGCCAAGCCTGCCTCCATCTCCGCCACCCGCGCCTCTCGCGCCGAGCCTGCCTCCGCTGCCATCGGCTGCGCCACTCTGCACCAAGCCGGTCTCCGGCCCCTCCTCCAAACAATACCGCGCCGGCCAGATGCAGCCATCCCCCCTCCCCCCGCGTCGCCCATTCGCTGGCGACACGGGGGGCAAAAACCCTAGTAGCGCCGCCGCCTTCCCTCTCCCTCCTCCCCCACCTAGCCGCCACCGGAGCTCACCGCCGGAAAGCCGGCGGGCGAGCCATGATGGCGGCCGCGGGGCTCCCTCGTGGTGGCGACCCCTCTCAGGCGCGGGAGAGGCGGCGAAAGGTGGAGGTTGGGGAGTGACGGCGGCGGCCCATCCCGGCGAGGAGACGGCGGATCCGGCGCCGCCTTCGCCGGATCTGGCCATCCCCTGGATGGATCCGGCCGGGGTTGGTGTGTTGGCGGCGGAGGAGGCCGCGGCGCGGCGGTGCGACAAGAGCGGCGACGCTGGCGCGATGAGGCGACGGTGATGGCGACGGCGCGACGTTGGCAGCGGAGGCGGCGGCGACGATGCGCCGACAACGATGCTTGCACACCTGCTGGCGGCGGCCACGGCGGCGAGGCGAGATGCGCGCGGGCGGCGGAGCTCGCACAGCCGGGCCTGGCGGCAGCGGGGTGTTGGTATTTCTTAACGATATTACTAGAAATATAATTCCCAGGAATGGCGCAGAAATACTTCTGGTATATTATGGTTACAGAGTTCATCCGCAAGTGCACGGATATACCATTGCAGCATTTCACCCGAGAGTATTCCAAGGGTATCATATTTATTTTATCCCGTGAAAAGATCATGTAGAGAGAGTTTGACTAATAATTTATATATTACTTGTGATAATTATATTCTAAGTAGGGGTTAAGATAATTGAAGGGTAGAGTGACACACAAGCACTAACTACTCATTCTCATAATATATTATCTAAACTAAGTGGATAGAAAAGCGAAAGATAATCTATTCCTATACTTCTAATATACATAGTATACATACATTCTAATTAACTGATATACTAGCTAATACCCTCTATCCGATGCCCTTCTGGTACTTTGAGAAGCCATCTCTGACTGCCGAGTTTCTTATGACAGCCCGTCATGACCATACAACCGGGACTAAATGCGGAGGAATATTCTCCCCAGAAAATTAACTTAGGATTATATACCGGCGCGAAGAAATATCTGTTGCTGCTGCTTGGGAGAGTTGACGTCGCGGAGCTGCTCCTCATCGGCGCCATTGGCGGTCGTCGGAATAGTAGCTAGGTGGCGACGACGAGGGGGCAAGAAGACAAGAAGGTAGGGGGGCTCCCGTCGAGCTCGCCCCCCGGTCACGGTGAGGCGGCGGGAAGGAAAGCGCCAAGCTTCTTAGCACCGACGTCGAGCTTGCACGGAATGACGCGGAGGAGAGTCGAGCTCATGGACGGACGGACGGACGGACGGAGGTGAGGTGAGTTCGAGCCCCCGCGAGGCATGAGGGACGACGCGAGAGGGGATGATGTCGAGCCCGGCAATGGACGGCGTTGTTGGAGGTGAGGCCAGCTCCAGGAGGACGGCACGCGTGCTCTGCTCAGGGAGTAAGGCATGCGCAGCGGGCTTGACCTCACCTTTCTCGCATTATTCCTCGACCACGATGGGTGGACAAGCGCCAAGCTGCTCCCGCAACGGCCGGTTATTGCGCGCACAAGATTAGATAGCAAATCAGAAAAGTTTTCTGTAATTGAACTCAAACAGAGTATATGTTTTTTTTTTTTTACTCTTGATGATCTTTGAGCCGACGAGTTCGTGCTCCAGTTTAGTGGGATTTGAGAGCGTACTAGTAGGCGACGAGGGTAGTGACAGAGGAGCAGGAGGGTGTAGTTAAGTCACTGATACGTAGATTCTACTTTGTTACGACCCACATGTTAATAGCTCAACTGTATAACAATTATGTCAGAGGTACGGAGTGGATTTTGATCTATTGAGGGAATATCCCCTTATTGTTTGCATGCCACTTAAATAGTTATGTAAAAAATTAAGATGATGTATTAACATGTGATGCATCACTCAACAAAATACAAGTTCAAATTCAACTTCTACATCTCACAATGAAAAAAAAAATTTTGACTGTAAATATACGTTAACTAGTTGTAGTTTAATTTATTTTTTTTTGTTATGGATGTACAAGTTGAATTTGAAATTGCATGTTTGTGAAGTGATATATCACATGTTAATACATCCTCTTAAAATTTTTTATTTTTTTATAATCATTTAAGTAACATGGAAATAACGAGAAGAAATGGTCTCGAGAGACTAAAATAGTTTTCCAGAGGATCCCTTTCCAGGCTGGAAGAGCGGTGCAGCCAGCCACCCTGGCCCCAAACCCGTTCTTCCCCTGCGGATAGCCAGTAGCCTGCGGACCAGTATCAATTTGAGGCCCTGTTTGGGGGAGTTTGTCCCAGCTGTAACTTTTGAAAAAAGCTGATTCTGCTAGAAGCTGCCCCAAACAGTATACAGATTCTGAAAAATGAACTAAGAAGCCAGGAGCTGAAGAAGCTGGGTTTCAGAGCTTTTCCAGATTCTCAGAAGCTGGCTACCAAACAGCTGCTTCTGATCTAAAACTCCCTCAAACATGCCATGAGAATGGAGTCATGCCGTTCCCGATTCCTCGCGAGTGCGTCGAGTAGCGATCCCATCGCCATGGTCGCCAACTCGCCACGGCTCCCGCACACCGTCTCAACGCATGACTCCATCCGAATAGCTGGGAGTCTGGGATGCCGAGACAAGGCCTGACAGGCGACACGCCACCGTGCGCTCAAGGGGAGCGCCGCCGACTGCCGTGGCCACCAATTGCCGTGATCACATCTGATCTTCAGCATGCGGCTCTCTAGACTCCTGTCCAATTGAATGCGCACGATCGTTTTTGGTAGGACCTGAATTCAAGTTTTTGGTGTAGTTGATATTTTGGGCCAAGCTATTTGATAGAACAAAGACTGCTTAAACTATAAAAGTTATTTATAAGCTTATCAATTTTGGTAGATTACTCGATGCCCCGCAAGTGTGCTTCAAAGAACATAATAAAACAACTTCGCTTCGGGTGATACCATCGGTGATGCTGTGCCAGTTGGCGTCAAAGCATTGCATTGCGTGTTCATTTGATACCACAAGGTAAATCTTTTGTCGATTTTACTATAACTTCTCCGTGACATCTGAATCTCTCAACAACCACATAATAACGGTGTCTTGCACCAAACAGACTTCTCCTTGAATTTTCTGTTGCCTAATTGCATTTCCCTATGATGTCAATATAATGAGTTTTTTACAGCCCTCTGAGATATGATCTTGATCTCTCATCAGTGACTTCGAATCTAGAAATGTACGAAGAAAATTTTAAGGTTGTATGCAGATGGAGTTTTTCGTATAAATATTGCTCTTGGACGCTCTTTTTAGGTTCATAGATTGATGATATATAAATGACCTTTTTTTAAGTCTCACCCTAGACCACCGAAACCTTAGGATTTGCCCTAAAGGAGCCACCATGTTTATCGGCGATATGGGTTCGGGGGTACCCAGGCTGTGAGGACCAGGTCCTGCCCTCGGTAGCCACGTGGCCTTCCCCCGAGGGGCTTTGGCCCGAGGCAGGGCGGCGGCCGTTCCCCACACGCCCTGGGATCGGGTCACCCCGACCCCCTCCGCGTGGTGCCATGTGTGCGGCGCCAGACGGGCACTTCTAGTGCCCGCCTAACCACATTTAAGGTGGTCTGAGCGAGCGCTCCGCGCGTAGCATTTAATACGGCGTGGTGCGTCAGACTGGTCTGTGATGTGGCTAGGGTAGTGCGCCTGAGCTCTGGCTGCATATCAGGCGGCCTGCCGCCTGACTCCCCCTATCACGTCGCAATTGTGAGAGGCAGCTCAGCCTCTCACGTCTGCCGGAGACGGTTTGCTTAACCCGTTTAGGGCAAGGTTCCCACTTCCCGGTGCGAGTGAGGACTCAAAAGTCCTCATTCATTAAATGCCAAGTGACGGGCACATCCCCCGTGCCAGGCGGGTGGATTTGATGGGCCCCGCGCTACAGCAAGGTATGCAAGTGACTTCCAAGGCAAGTAACGAGACGCACGCTTAGTATGATTATCCTCCCTAGTTAGACTCGGTAGAGCCCTGTGGTAACCCCTTGAGATATAAAAAGAGGTCCTGGCCTACTGAGGGAGGGGATGAGACATTTTGACTAGAATAGTCTCTTGCCCCTCATCATCAACACCTTCTACTCCAACAAGGAGATCTTGTAATCTCTCCCTCTTAGTGAGCATAGTACAGGAGTAGGGTATTACGCTTCTCAACGGCCCGAACCTGCATAAACCACGGTTGCCTTTCCCCCGAGGGGTCGCACCCCTCTTCTGCACACTTGACAGCGAAACCCTCGATCTACAATCACCGTCCCCGGCCGAACTAAAAAGGGGGGCCTTTCGGTTCCCTGGTGGAGGAGTCCACCCTCTGACAATGTTTGCTATGAACTCCTAGAAACTTCTTTGCAAGCAGCTCAATATATGAAAATAATTATCTCACGACAGCATGCAGCTCAACCTGGAAGAAATATAATCTGCATTACTGCTTTCCAAAAATTTTAAGAAAGGGTTGAGCAACGTTTACCTGCCTCCCTAAGATGAATAGATTCAGATTTTTCTTAAACATGAAGAGTACTAGTTGAGGGTATTTTTGGAATGTACTCACTCCATACTCATAAAGAAAGTTGTTTAGGATAATGTTTAAGTCAAACCTTGGGAATATAAATCATAAATAACTCTCGAGTTGTTGAGTTTGAAAATGTAAAAATTATATGAATAGATTTGTCTTGAAAAATACTTTTATAAAAGTATACATATATCACTTTTTAATAAATATTTTTATAGAAACAAGAAGTCAAAGTTATGTTATAGAGACCGTGTCGCTGTCTTAAACGACTTTCTTTACGAGTATGGAGGGAGTATAGTGCTAAAATGTACCTACCATTGCTTTGGGATGTCTGGCTCCTGTAAGGGAACGAGGGTGATAGGTACATTTAGTACCCATTCAATGAACATAATAACCCATCCATTCCTAACCTTCCAGGACACGTGTTACATGATAAAATGCGGTGCACATGCACACAGGTTCATATTATCCAGTTTCTCTCTCTCTCTGTATGTATATATATCTCTGTGTGTGTGGATGCGCTAAACCGCACCCAGGGTGTGTTATAACTAAACTACTCCCCTCACAGCAACCCCCTCACCCCACCCCCCACCCCTCCTCCCCCTCCCCCCTTCAACACCCCCCGCACAAACTCCCCCATCCCTCCATCTCCAAAAATTTCTTTCGTTAAGTAAACCAATTACTATAAGTGGTTTTTGTTCGATAAGTAATCAAGTTACTATCAAAAGGTTCCCCACACCATCAATCCCGCAGAACTAGCCTGCACCTTTTTTTTCTTTCCTCCTTTTTTTTCTCTTTCCTCCCGCACTTCTTTCGTGATTGTCCTATTAGTAACAAGATTACTGAGTCTGTCAGCTTATGAGTAACTGAGTTACTAACACTCCCGCACTCCCAAATTGATTCCTTGAGTTACTAACACTCCCGCACTCCCAAATTGATTCCTTCTCTCAGTAAATGGATTACTCCCAAGTTGTTTTCAGCCTTCTCAATTTGGTTCCTTCTGTCAGTAAATGAATTATTCTCAGGATGAATTATTCTCAGGTCGTTCTCAGCTCTTCTCTTAGTAATTAAATTACTTAGGACAGTAGTAATCCCAATTGATTCGTATAACGTGTTTTAGTAACTTAAATTACTATTACACCGATGGTTCTCATCATAACATATTGATCTTGCCACAAAATTTCTCTTAGTAACCAAGTTACTATTACTATTACACTGATGGTTCTTAATATTTTGTCTCTTAGTAACTAAATTACACCAATGGTTCTCAAACATACTATCTCTTAGTAACTAAACTACTATTACATTACATCGATGGTTCTTAACATATTCATATTCATATTGATGTAAGAAAAGGAAAAATACAGCCAATGACAACACAACTAGCTAAACACCACCACCACGCTGGTGTCGACTGCCTTCCCCATTTAGTCGTCCCATGGAAGCACCATGTTATACCATCTTCATTGACCAAATTTGCACAAGCCATGAAAAGTGCTCATATTGGTAGAAGATAAGCAGACATAAATTAGCACAACAAAAATCTTCTCCAGCACCTGCCAGTGGTCGCCAATGAACTTGACGAAACACACTTCTTCGCAATATGAATTCACGGATAATCATCTTCTTGATGTGCCCCTCGAAGCTGTCAATTGGAGAAGCACGATTGGCTCATCAACATGCCATCGTTCCATGCCTCAATCACACCATCCCACACTGCACCTGATGACGCTAGCAGCCACAGGTAAAATTCAAAACAAAACATTCAGTCTGAAGAAGTTTGTCCCAGTAGCAACAAACATGGTGGCTACATTGATCATTATATTAAAATTTAAATAAACTTGCCTGGTCATCTCAGCTGCATGAAAATAATAAAAAATATACGCTAAGATCGAACAGCACCACCTGAAAACAAAAATAATCCAAGAAGGCAAATAGAATGAGTTTTTAATCCATTAGCCAGTAATTCCATACAGAACCCAATAAGGAATGCAAAATGCAACATTCTTTGTAGATAGAAAATCAGGCAATTAAATTGAAGCAATCTCAGATATGTTTAGATGATAGAAAAGATGTACAAGGTTAGTATATGCAAAGGATAAAGCACCCACAAATTCATTGTGGTTCTTGAGCTCACCATAATACCAGCCTGGAATCTGATATTGTTCAATTCAGCCAAATGAGAAAATAAGATTCACACATGGCGTAGAAAGGAATAAAAATCAATATTGCTGCCCACCTTGATAATGATGCTATTGGTAGTTTTCCGAACATTCGACAAACAGATTCATGATTGAACAAATGAAAATTCAGATGCGAGCGGTTTTCTGAACATTGGACAAACTACAGTTTTCGACAAATATTTAGAGCTGCTAGATTGCTGTTTTTACCATGCTTCATTCTCCTAGCTAGATGAAACAAGAAAAATCAAAAGAGAACTAGACGGAAATCAAAGAAACAAACCATTTATGGATCCATTTGGCCCACAACTGCTGCGGATCACGCAAGCATGCTGTAGCCGCTGTTGAGGCACCCATGAGCTGCCGACCACCAGCACCATCAGCCTCAGCCATCAAGGCCCCCGCCACCAGCCGCCCTTCAATGGCTAGATCCTGGACGCCAAAAGCGGATGTGGTTCGTTTTGAGAGGTTACATATCGATGAGCCTGGAACCAGAGCGCGGCGGAGAGGACGTCGTCGTCTGCACCGTCGCCACCACCGAGGAGGAGGTCTTCCTCGGCAGCACGCTGGAGCACGGCGTCGATGTGGCTGACCTCGATGACAGACTCAAGCGGCTGCCGTGGCCTTGTTCCGCTGCCAGACCAACGCGCGGCCGAGGCCCTCACCGTGGACCGTGGTCCTTCCTCCCGCCATCGCAACAAGGTGGCGGGGGTGGCGGCAACTCCTCCATGGCGAGGCGCAGAGGGCAGCGGTGGATCTCCATGGCGCGGCGGCCCGCGAGCGCCGCCACCGTCGCCAGCCTTCGCTCGTGCCCTCTCCCTCGTGGTTGATCCGGGAAAACCGGCGTGGAGTGGATGGTCTCTAGATCACGGAAAATATGGTGGGGGTTTGTTGCATACTGAATACAATCGCGGGGGGAAAGGGGGGGGGGGGGGGGGGGGTGGCTGGAGCCTGGAGGGAAGGGTGTGGGTGTGTTTTAGCTAAACTACACCCCATGCGTGGTATATATATTATTAATACCAAAAATTGGTCATATACAATCACACTTGCGAGGCACACCAAGATTACTAGATTAATGGATAACGATATCATGATTTGCTTATATTACGAGGAGAAGACCCACTATAAATGGAATATAAGCTGAATGACATTACGAAATGATCAAAAATACAAAACATTGCATAATAATGAAGTGAAACATACATAGTTGCTCTTTGACCAAACTTTTATCCGAAAGTGGATAGCATAATTATTTAATGGTTACTTGATTATTGTTGATAACTTCACAAGATGCATCGGTTGTAATTGTGAAATGTCCACACTGCACAAAGCCACAAACAGAGAACAAAATATCAATGAACTTATTGTATATAATCTTAGAAAATCTTGTGTAATGTCAATTGTGATGGAAGTACCATGAAACTATGAGGTATCTCTCTATGTCAATTAAGATTATTTTGCAAGTTAAAATAGTTTCATATACTAATAACTAGCATGGTGGCCAGCGCAGATTGCGCGGCTAGCATTATTATATTTTCTCTCATATAACACCATACATGTTTCTCATTATATTATTCAAATATATTAAAATGACAACATAATTTTAAATTTTGCAATAATTTACAAAACTACTAATGTGTAATATTCATATTGTATATTATATACATGTTAGTTATTAATTATTTTTAATATCAAATTTTAGTTATTTGTAAATTATATATATTCCTATATGGACTCTAGACTCGTCTTTTAATATTTCTTTTTTAATTCCGAATTTTATGTAAATTGTATTTCTATATAGACTCTATGCTCTTCTTCCAATATTATTTATTTTTATTTCTGATTTTTTATTATTTCTAATTGTATTTTTATGTGGACTCTAAACTCGTCTTTCAATATTCTTTAATTTTTAATTTTTAATTTCAGCTACTTCTAAATTGTATTCCTATATTGACTTTAAACTCTTCTTCCCATGTTTTTCTTAATTTCAAATTTTAATTATTTGTAAATTGTATTTTTATACAGACTCTAAACTCTACTTTTAATTTTATTATGTTTATTCCAAATTTTAGTTAATTTTAAATTCCTATATGGACTCTATACTCTACTTCTAATATTCCTTATTTTTAATTCCGAATTTCTATTATTTCCTAATTGTATTTCTATATGGACTCTATACTCTACTTCTAATATTTCTTAATTTTAATTCCGAATTTCAGTTATTTCCTAATTGTATTTCTATATGGACTCTATACTCTACTTCTAATATTCCTTATTTTTAATTTCGAATTTCAGTTATTTCCTAATTGTATTTCTATATGGACTCTATACTCTACTTCTAATATTCCTTATTTTTAATTCCTAATTTCAGTTATTTCCTAATTGTATTTCTATATGGACTCTAGTTTCCTCTTCTAATATTCCTTATTTTTTAATTCTGAATTTCAGATATTTCTAAACTATATTTCTATATAGACTCTGTCTTTTCTTTTTCTCCAATTAATGTGAGAATTTCTAGGCCATGAGAGCGAACGTGGATGCTCCTTTTTCTATTTCTTTAATAATATAATAGATTTCCGAGATAACAAAGGGCTTCATCTAAAGATAAAAGAAAATTTGCACTTACACAATTTAGTACGAGTATTTTATACTCAATCTTCCCGAACAACCACATTCATCATGATGCCGGACATTTTGGCAAAGAAGCTCACAACAGGCATAGTATCTTCAACCTCTTCCTCCTCCTCTTCATTTTCGTCTTCTTCAATATCCTCCTCCTCCTCTTCTTCTTCTTCGTCTTCTTCTTCGTCGTCTTCTTCTTCTTCGGCCCCCTCTTCCGGCTCTTCTTCTTCTTCTTCTTCTTCTTCTTCTTCTTCTTCTTCGCCCCCCTCCTCCGGTTCTTCTTCTTCTTCGCCCCCCTCCTCCGGCTCTTCTTCTTCTTCTTCTTCTTCTTCTTCTTCTTCTTCTTCTTCTTCTTCGCCCCCCTCCTCCGGCTCTTCTTCCCCCTCATCATCGTCCACCATCTCTTCATTGGTATTCTCCACCTTTGTTTCATAGATGTATGATTCTCCTATCTTGGTTGATCTTTCTTCTGTTGTTGACTCCTTGTTTAGTGTTGCCCCAGTTTCTAATATATGTGAATTTCCCACTCCACCCAACATCTTTACTCCAAGCATTCCTGCATCTAATATTACCGTTGTTCCTTTTAACTGCGAAAGTACATTCTTCCCAACATTTGTTGTGACTATTGGTCTTGTAGTTCGTGAGCCTCTAGTCATCCCAACATTTGTTGTTGTTGATCTTTTAACTTGTGAGCGTTCTGTCATCTTAACAGTTGTTGATCCTTTACTCTGTGAGACTTTGGTCATCTTGATATTTGCTGCTACCGACCCCTTAACACGCGAGTTCTCATTCATCTCAACATTTGCTGCTACCGATCCTTTAATATGGGAATCTCTGGTCATCCCAACATTTGCAATTGTTGATCCTTTAATTTGTGAACCTCCTTTTGTCAGGCCATCAGGAACTCCCCTATTTTTAGTGGGGGGATCTTGAACAGCCAATCTTTTTTTGGCGATCCTAGAACTATTTTTTTTCAAAGGACCTAGAACTCCCACTTCCTTGCCACATTTGCTTCCTTTTCCATTGTCTCCTAGTTGCCCACAACCAGGCATCTCTACAGGTGCTCCTTCCTGTAGTTTTGGATCCCTTTGTACTGACACTCCTGCGCAGTTCACGTGGATGCTGAATTTGCATGACTTGCAACGGTAGCAAGTGGTGTCGCCGGGTTTCGTACACACTTTGCAATTAAATGGATTTTTCAGCTTGGTCCTTGTTAATTGGTGTTCTGGGTGTGAGGAGTGTATGATGATGCTCGCCATCCTAGTTTGGAGAGGTAGAAGTTTGTTAGAGACTTTAGTGGTAGTAGTTTTTATTTCAATGTATAGTACAAGAATTGAAATATATATTCTCTTCAACGCCGATGGCATAATTTGCAGCAACTCAGCATCCTGACCACAATAACCAAGATGCTTTAGTACGTCTCGCAATTAATTTTGGAATTGAGCGTAAGCTTATTCTTAAGACCTCAAAATTAACATTGTAATCAGTGAACAAATATCCACTATATTGATTGTGTGTTGTGTCCAAACTATAATATGTCTAGATTAAAACAGACAATCCAAATAAAAAAAATGCAATTCAGAAATGTCACAAATAAAAGATAAAATAAAGTCCATCTAAAATAGAATAAGGTCATTTATTATTTATCATGTCAATTTTCTCAGGACCCATCTATCACCAAATTAATCACTGGCATCTGTTTCTCATGATATTAAATAAAAAATATTAGTCGAAGGTTGGTCAAAATTTTGAAACTTCGACCATTAGTTTACATTAAATAGGTTATGAAATATAGAAATTTTATAGTATTACGATAGAATAACTTTTATATATAGGCAAATCTATGTATATCAATTATTAAAATTTTAAACTATCAAATTGTGAAATAAGTGATGGTCTAAATTTTAAAATTTTAATGATTATTATACTAAACGTCGAATATATTTTATCAAAGGGAGTAATTATTGTTATAGTGAAAAGTTTGCATGCATAATCAATGAAGTGCGCTCACTTCTTTGCACTTTGATAGATTTGATAATTTGGCCTAATTCAGTCCTCACTTTTTTACATCTTGCCCTTTGGCTAAGTTTAACCCGAGATTCCGCAATTTTTTTAATCAAATTTTAGAATTATTAAATTAACAAATACTAACTAAATTAATTAAATTTGAAATTTGAAATTAATAATTTTGTTACTATAAATTTGGAAGTTCATTTGCACATAGATGCATATAATTAATAATTTTTACATAACTTCGAATAAAATATAAATATTAAGAGTATATGTAAATACACACATTGAACCCATTTCCAAAACTTTTCATGGTCAACCAAACTATGCCTATACAGATTGGAAGAACCAAGTTTCTATCTTCCTGTAAAGTTGGTATCCACTAATAGAAAGTAAGACATGCAAGAAGCCAGCAATTATAAGCCATCAAATTGCATTAGTACAAAGCTAACAGTTGTTGGATCGCCCGGTCAAAAAAAAAAACAGTTGTTGGATCAAAAAGCTACTAACCATCTAATTAGTCATTTATTAGTCGTCCATTCACCTCCCTTTGTCCATTTCATAGTCACACATAACATTGTTACTTATTTTGCACTTTACACCATGTTTTTTTCCTACCAAGTCCTGAAAGACAATGCTTATATATTTTTTCCGAATACAACTCAAACTATTGTTTAAAATGTGAGTTTTGTTTTATTATGCATGATTAGATAGTATTAAATTATTAGGCACCATTATCTGAACATATTTTCAGGGCAAGCTTAAGTGAAATATAGAGGTACAAACTATCTAGTTGCAGCGATTCCCAGATTACGAATGAAAATAATATTTATATATCATAACAAGACACAATAACACTTTCAAAAAAGGCTTGAATTATACCATAATAACATAGGGTATGTATAAAACTACATTATATATACATAAAAGTTACATCTAACCATTTAAACATTTGATTTTGTTGGATGACAAAATAAAAATTCCCGTGGCAAGGCACGGGGGTTCCAACTGGTTTAATCTACATCAGTGAACCAAACAATAAGCACTGGACAAGAGTTGCAAATCATCAATACAATAAGACTAAATATAAATTCTAGTTCTGAAAGAAAACTAAATATAAATACCACTCGGTTAAAATCAGGAAGATGTTTTGATTATTCACATCTTGCATACAACTATTTTAAAGCCCGTACAACACACGGGTAGGCATGCAACTAGTTATGACTAATCTATTATGATATTAAAACAAGGTCGTTTAATCTCCAGACATAGCATT